TCACATTCCTCTCCTCAAAAGTGCTTCAAAATGGATTCCTTGGGGACCTGCTCCATGATTTTGCTGGGGACAGAAGTGAGACTGACCGGCCTGTAGTACCCCGGGGTTCTCTTTTTTCTCTTTTTTAAATATGGACACTATATTTGCCTTTTTCCAATTGTCCGGGACCTCCCCCGATCGCCACGAATTTTCCAAGATAATGGCCAATGGCTCTGCAATCACATCAACCAACTCCCTCAGCACCCGTGGATGCATTAGATCTGGACCCATGGACTTGTGTATGTCCAGCTTTTCTAAATAGTCCTTAACCTGTTCTTTCACCACTGAGGGCTGCTCACCTACTCCCCATGCTGTGTTGCTCAGTGCAGTCGTCTGGGAGCTGACCTTATCTGTGAAGACCCTTGGCAAAAAAAGCATTGAGTACTTTAGCTTTTTCCACATCATAGAATATCAGGATTGGAAGGGACCTCAGGAGGTCATCTAGTCCAACCCCCTGCTCAAAGCAGGACCAATCCCCAATTTTTGCCCCATCGTGTACACAGTGGTGATGATGGCAGGGCCCCTCTGCCCCACAGGGACTAGATGAAATGCCCAGCTCTGAGGAGGACGGGGGATAGCAGCACTTGCACAAAACATTGGGGAATGGAAGAAGGGGTGTCCTGTATCCAAAAGATGATAAGCCCCCCTCTCCCCACAGCACAACACCCCGCACTGAGTCCCTGCCCTGCTTCCTGCAACACAGCGCCCCCTACTGAGCCCCCTGCCCCTCTCCCCACAGCAGTGTCCCCCACTGAGCCTTTCCAACCCACCCCCTGCAGAGTGTAGTGTGTGTGAGGTGGACGGTTTTCATCACCTCTTTACAGTGCCCCCTACTGACCTGGTGCTGCTTCTGCTTCTGCCCCAGAGGGCGCTCCTTGCATCCCACCCCTGCAGTGGGGCAGGGGCTCAGCTACGTACCCGAGACTGTAAAGTCAGGGCTGGAATGAAGGAGCAGCACAGGCCCCAATGCCCCTGGGCAGATGAGTGGGGGGAAGGGTCAGAGCAGGTGCTACTGGGTCGGGAGCACGTGGCAGGGCCTAGGGACAGCCTGGGAGTGTGCTGGGGAATCCCCTTCTCAGAGAGAATGGGGCACCGGCAGAGCTGTGGGTGGGGGGAGCCCAGGGCTGGGCTAGTGGGGGACAGAGGAAGAGGCTGCAGGGCAGGATTGGGGGTACTGGCAGAGCTGTAGGTGGGGGGAGCCCAGGGACTGGGCTAGTGGGGGACGGAGGAAGAGGCTGCAGGGCAGGATTGGGGGCACCGGCAGAGCTGTGGGTGGGGGGAGCCCAGGGCTGGGCTAGTGGGGGACGGAGGAAGAGGCTGCAGGGCAGGATTGGGGGCACTGGCAGAGCTGTGGGTGGGGGGAGCCCAGGGGCTGGGCTAGTGGAGGACAGAGGAAGAGGCTGCAGGGCAGGAAGAAGGTGCATCAGTAGAGCTTGGGGGGAGCCCAGGGCTGGGTTAGCGGGAGGCTGCAGGTCGGGGACACAGAGCTGGGGGTTTCCTGGGGCTATCTGTGCTGGCGAGGCGCGTTATCCCATCTGGCCACTGGGTGTCACTGTTACTTCCAGGATTCGTAGCTCTCTGGCTGGGAGGAAGCAGAGGGCTCAGAGTTAACCCCCTCTCCGCCGAGGGCCTTGGTGCCTCCTCCATACTGGGCCCGCCAGAGGTGAGGGCGGGGCGGGGCGCCAGTGGCTGATTAGCTGGGCTGGGTTCTGGGGCGCTGCTTTCTCTGGCTCCTTGTCTGCATGTCTCTCCAAGGCCTGCTGCAAATACATTTCCATACAAGAGTCCCTCACCCCCACAGCATAGAGGAAACTGAGGCACGGGGCTGGCAGTGATACCCCAGGACCACTGCCAGCCCATCTCAAACCCGGTCACCAATCATAGGTTTCTCCCTCTGGCCAATGTAGCCTTTCTCCCTCCCCCATATCGTCAGTGTTATCCTGGCTCCATACCCTACTCTTTCACAGCTCTAGACTTTGCTGCGTTGTTAACTCTGAAGCCTAGTGATTCCAGATTAAATGCCTGCATTGTTAACACTTTCATGGCTGATCATTTACAAATCTAGCTGATGTGCTCCACATCCTCCCCTCCAATGCAAAACTGCCCTCCGCCATGTTGGGTGCTGAGAGCCCCAACTGCCCCACACCCAAATCTCTGCAAAGTCATGTGCTCATTATAAAGCTCTTTTACATGGACAGTTTAGGGATTTCAATAGAAAGAAGATGACCTATTAGGGCAGTCCCCAGTCAGGATCAGGGCCCAGCACTGCACAAACACACACAGAGAGGCCCTGCCCTGAAGAACCAGATTTCACTGTTTGAAACCATCCCAGTTCTAATCTCTCTGCTGCTTCCCACCCAGTGGTGAGATGCAGGTCCCAGTGGGGAGAGGTGCAAGAACTGTTTATACAGGGATCTTTTGCCCACCACTAAGATGCAGCCATCTGTGGGATGTGTCACAGAGGCTGTTTATACAGTGATCCCTCACCCAGTGCTGAGATGCAGCTACCTCTGGGGAGGAGCCCAGCATCTGTTCTACACCTGCAAATTATTTTAGGACCCAAAGCGATGGTGAATGAGCACAGCCAACAGTAGGAGGCAGAATGGATGCACCAGAAGGGGTGGGAGAATGGGACCCAGGTTCTGATACCACAGAAACTCAGTGGGCTCCCTTCCTAGGGTTAACCAACCCCAAGCCTGCTTAGCTTCAGGGCTGTGCAGAGCTCATGGTCTGGGGATCAGAGAGTGACTCACTTGGGATCTTGGCCTTCCCCCCACCCCCATCCCTGACCCAGGGCAGCCTCGGCTTTGTCCCCTGCCAGGAACGGGGAGGGAATTGGGGCTGAGTCAGTCGGATTCCGGGAGCCCTGGCTCCAGGGAGACAAAGGGAGGAAGCAGGGGGCACCGACCCCAGCCCCAGCCTGCCTCTGTTGGGCGTGAGGCATCCAACATGGCACTGAGTCACCACCATCCCCCTGGTCCTTTCCCTCCCACCCCCCTCCAGCTCTGCTGGTGTCCCTCAATCCCAACCTGCAGCCCCCTGCCCCACATCCCACATGGGGCAGGGAGGGGCTGGGACCGAGAGACAGAAACTCCCGGGGGAGCCGTGTGAGGGTCACCCAGCTCAGCCAGGACTCCCTGCTCTCCCCAGCCTTAACAGCGGTCTGAGATCCCAGTGCCTCTCCCCCTTCTCCCCTTCCAGGGGCATGCCCAGGGTGCCAGGCTGGAGGTCCCACTCTGAGCCCATCACTGACCAAGAGAAGTATGTTAGCCACAGCCGAGAGGGCAGTGGCCATGAACAGCCCACATACACACACACCCTGCGCTACTGGCCCCTCAACCCTGACCTGCAGCCCCTGCTAGCCCAGCCCTGGGCTCCCTGCACCAGGTGTGGATTCTGCCAGGCTGCAGTGTGTGTATATGCTGCATTCTCCACCCCCCCTCTGACTCCCCAGCTATATTTAGGGGCTCCTCCCCATTGCTTAGCTGCAGTTGCTGGGTGCATTTATGAGGCAGGGAAGGTCATGAAGGCGGTTCTGGGGCTCCACATGCAGAGCAAACCCAGCCAGCGAGAAGAGGAGAGGCTGGGGACCTGCCCCAGACACTAACTAAAGTGAAAATGAGCAAGAGCCACGATTTTGTACTCATGGAAAGTGTCAGGGGGCGGGGGTGTGGATGGATGGGTGTATTGGGGGATGGGTGGATGGAGAGATGTATTGGGGGATGGATGGAGAGGTGTATATGGGGATGGTGGAGGAGTGTATAGGGGGATGGAGGGGTGGAGGAGTGTGTATGGGGATGGATGGCGGGGTGTATTGGAGGATGGATGGAGGGGTGTGCGTGGGGACAGATGGAGGGATGTGTACATGGGTGGGTGGATGCCTAGATGGATGGGTGTGTAGGGGCTGGCTAGATTAGGTCCAGAAGCAGGGAGTTAGGGGGCTAGCCAGTGTTTTGACCCCATAATGCCTGCCATATTGAACTCTTTGGTGAGCTCTGCACTGGTAGGAGATGCCAGATGGGCCTGAACCTCCCATTTATCCTTAGAGCAGGTGCAGCAGGGTCAGCTCCCCCAACCATGACATTTTAATTATGAAGCGGAGGAGTGGGGTCTAGTGGGTAGAACCGCAGAGGAAGGGTATGGTGGGGTGAGGTGAGGTGAGGTGGGGTGGGTTAATAGCTAGCACACCTGGGTTCTATTCTCGGCTTTGCTTTTAATTGGCTGTGACAGAGCCCTATGTCCTCCCTGTTCCTCGGTTTCCCCCTTGTACATAAGAAGCCTGCTGTCAGACACAGAGGTGGGGAGGGCTCATTCCCTGTCAGACACGTCATGTCGCACAAGTAGGAGCTGCCAGGATGGGCAAAGGGGCCTGGGACTCGCCTTCCCATCCAGCCTCACCCCCACATCCACCTCAGGGCCACTCCCCCGATTACTGTTCCATGCTAAAAAGCAGTCTCCCCACCCCCACCCTGTCATGTTCTCTTTCCCCAGCCCTAGTGCCCCAGCCATGTTGTTGCTCTTCCCCCTCCCCCCTCCTTCATGCTCTCCTTCCCTGCCCAGTTCTCCTTGACCCTTCAGGTAACACCCCTCTGCTACCTATTTCTTTCCCTTCCTGCCAGGAAACCCCCCTCTCTACCCCAAAGCCTCATGATGGCCAACCTTCCAGGAGAATGTGTGTGACATAGCACATGGCACCAGGGTGAGGGCAGATCAGGATCTGGATCGGGGCAGGGACCTGGAGGACAGATAGGGGTGGGGGTGGATTGGGATTGTATTTACTTGGGTTAGGGATCTAGGGTGGCAGACAGTTAGTGGTAGAATCTGGGGCAGCTGATTGGGGTGCAGTGAATTCTAGCAGCCCAGTGATCTCTCAGCCAGTCCCAACCCAAGATGCCAGTGAGCCAAGCTCTTGGAGGAAGCCTTTTATTTGTTAATACAAGAATAAAAATTCTGCAATAAATACCATCTAATAAATAATATTTCCAAATAAATAAATATTAATATAGACATACCAAGAAAAACACAACCCGGTGGGGGAATGTGGGGGGTGGAGAAGGGCAGGGTCACAGGCCCTTAATCCTGATCCCACATCTGGAGCATGGGCAGGGAGGTGGGCAGCAGGGCCTATGCCAGATAAAGAGCCCCCACAACTGCCCAAATGCTACGTCTGCGACAATGTAAACTTTAAGGAAATGCTGCATGTGTCATGGCATGAGATGGCAAAGGGATATTGCCCCACCCCTTCCTGGTTTAGCTCCCCTGCTTTCCTGGTCCTCATGGGTGTTTTGTCAGGAGGTGGGGCCAAAAGATGCATCAGCATTGCACTTGGAGAAGCGCTGGAGGTCTGCTTTCAAATCCTACCCCTATTTTGGACCCCAACCTTTCCTCTTCCAAATCTCGCCCCTTCCTGGTTTGGACCCCAACCTTTCCTCTTCCAAATCTCGCCCCTTCCTGGTTTGGACCCCAACCTTTCCTCTTCCAAATCTCGCCCCTTCGTGGTTTGGACCCCAACCTTTCCTGGTTCAACATCTGCCCCTTCCTGTTTTGGACCTCAATTTTTTCTGTTTCATTCCCCCTCCCCCTTCCTGTTTTGGATCCCCAGACTTTCCTGTTTCACACCCCGATCCTTCCTATTTCTCGTCCCTCTTGCCCCACGATGCTGCAGTGTCATGGGGTGAGATTGCCCCATTTGCAGGTGTGACCGGAGGGCTGGTGCTGGTGGCATTGCCTATCTCAGCCCCTGCCCCCAGCCATGAGGGAAGTGATGCATGGAGGGCAGAGCTGGAAGCACCCAAAGAAACATGGAGGCCAGGCTGCAGGCCAGTGTCAGGGGCTCTGAACCTGAGGAAAGGCTGGATGAGTCCAGGTCTCCGTGCATGAGAGCAGGGGAGGGGGACGCAGAGGAAGAATTGGATCAAACCAGAGGTACAGAGTATGACGCAGCAAGAGACAAAGCCAGACAAGGCTTAGGGCTGCCCACGGTAAACAGACAGTGCTGACTGCTGCCCAGAGCACATGGGGGTAGGGTTTATTGTTGCTCTGGGTGAAAGGGGAAGGGGTTATTGCTGTCCAGATCTGGGGGTGGGGCTTATTGCTGCTCTGGGCTGTACTGGGGGAAGGAGGGTTATTTCCCTGTTTTGGAAAGCAAATAGGTCCCTTGCTAGAGAATAAGAAAAAGGCGGGGGGAGGGAAGGAGAAGGATGGGGACGTGCTGCATGGCATAACAGATGGGAAGGAGGCTGGGAACCATGGAAGGGAGGGAGAGGGGTAAGGGGTGGGAGGCACAGTGGGGCCTGGGTTTGGAGGTTCGGAAGATCTGAGGGGAGGGGAAAGTCAGCAGCCCCTTATCTTGAGGCACAGCATGATGAGTGGAGTGGGCAGATGTCCTGTACCTCGAGGCACAGCGTGGTGATGGGGTGTGGGGGGGCAGGGGTCAGAAACCCCTAGCCTCGAGGCGCAGCATGAGGGCGGCAGGCGGCACCTTCTTCTTAAGGCGGTTGAAGTCCTTGGCGGAGCGCCACAGCCAAGTCTGCAGCTCCTTGAGCAGCCAGAAGTCATCCATCTTCTTGAGGAAGTCGTTGTGGGAGCTAGTGGCACCCGGCCCCTGGGCCCAGGTGGGGTCGGTGCTGCCCAGTGGGCTGGGCAGCGGGTAGCCCAGCGAGGACATGACGCTGGCAATGCTCACCACCAGGCCCTGCAGGCTGGTGCAGAAGTGGCCCAGGTTCTGGCGCAGCTCGGCCTTGGCCACCTGCCCATCCATGCCACGCAGGTAGCACAGCAGGTGCGTGTAGGCCCGGTAATTGGCTGCCAGCCGGGCATTGTCATTCAGGCTGCGCCACAACTCAAAGTCCACAGTGGCACTGGGCACCATCTCGGCCCTTGTCATCCGGGGAGGGTTGAAGTCTGGCTCATTGAAGGGGGGGCCAAGGTAATTCAGCTGCAGTGGGTGAGAGAGGGGAGAGAGGTCATTAGATTCACACAAACAGAACCCAATGCGACCCTCGGACACTCCTGCTGGGGTCAGGCCTGACCCAAGGACGGCCAGAGACTCTGAGGGGATCAGCATGGGGACACCCCAGCTGCCACTTGGCCCTCCTAAGTGGCCCCAAGGAGATGTCCAGCAGAGGAGACACGGGAACAAATCCCTCTTGGGAGAGGATGGGGGTAAAGGGGAGGCACCGGAAGGGGCCAGTGATACTCAAGAGCCCTACAGCTCAGCCCTGTCCATTGCTGGAAGGAGATCCTCAGTCATGGGGCATAGTGCAGCTGGGTGAGGCTGGGAGCGACCGGGGGCATTTGTGGCCTTTAGCCCTGGCCCTGCAGCTTCGGGATGGAGTGCTGCCTGCGGGAGTACATGGTGAGTAGGTCTGAATCGACCTCTCTCCCAAGTCCACGGGCTCCCTAAACCCCTCAGCTGGTGGCTTCTAGCCCAGGAGGGCATGGCTTCTTCTCCCGGCATAACTGGCTGCCAAGTGGGTGCCCCTGGTGAAGACAGACACGGAGGGCCTGTCCCTGGCCAGGTGCAGGGGACAGGAGGCTGTGGCTCTGGAGTGAATGCCATGAGGATAACAGGCTTTGGCCCATGCACCAAAGGGCCCAGTGCCAGGCCCTGCATGAAAGAGGATGTGGGGGGGGAGGGATAAAAGTCTGTGGGACCGGAGCCCCTCAGCCCCACAGCCAGAGGGTATTGCCAACCAAGGCAGGGGCATGGAGTCGGGGAACCCCTGTGGGGGGCAGAGGAGGAGATAATGGGGGCTGGAGTGGGAACACTGGCACCAAAATGCCATGAGGTGGGGGAAGCACTGCTGGGCCTTGGGGGTAGTACGTCTCGGGGACTGTGGCTCCCGGAAAGGGCTGCCTCTGCCCCGTCATGAGCTGTGGAATTTCCTCTGCCCCCTGGCACGGGCGAGGACACTTCAGAGCACGGCGGCCGGCTCTCAGGAATTCCTCCAGGGATGATGGAGGGAAGGGGGGGCCCTGTCTCACAGGTGAGGCCCTAATGACGGGGCTGGGAAGCGGCAGGAGGAACCGGCTGGTGGCCCCAGGGATGAGGTAATTTACGTGCGGCTGAGTGGGGAAGAGGAGGTGAACCAAGGCCATCGGAGTGCTCTGGAGAGGGGGTCCTTTTCCCCCCCAGACAGTGAAAGGGGGGGCAAGGGGCGTGTTCACCGCCTGGGCCTATGCACAGGATGGAGAACAATGCCGGGCTGGGGAAACTATTCAGCCCCAGCACCCTCCCTCTCACATGCTGACCCCTCTCATCGCATGCAGGCACACGCTGACCCCCCTCGCCCTACGCAGACACATGCTGACCCTCTTCGCCCCACATGCTGACCCCCCCAACCCCACGCAGACACATGCTGACCTCCACATACTCATTCTCACACGTACATTTCACATGAGTGCACATTCTCACTCTCAGGTACTTCCACACTCCATACACACAAGCAGTGACACACACTCCAACATGCATGCCCACTGTCTCACACACATACATCCCACACATACCCATCCTGCATACCTGCATATTCTCACCCCCACATCTGCACAGTGACACACACCATGCCCCCACTCACCCCCATACACACTGACACACCAACACATACTGACATGCACAACCACACACACATACTGTCACACATGCAGCCCCAGACACGGGCACACCCACACACCATTTTCACCCTCAACACATGTGCTCACTCTCTCACACATGCTTGCTAACATGCCTCCACACATGCAAATTCCCATAGCTATCCTCCAAACTGCTACCCCCCTGCCTCCCCACATCCAGGGATTCCCCGTCCCCCAGGATGGCATGGGGAGCAGCCCCCGCAGCAGCAGGGGAGCCCTAGCAGGGATTCAGGGAGAATCAGGGAGTGGAAGGGAGGTGTGTCACCGCTGCAGGTGGGGCGGCATGGGCACCTGAACAATCTGACAAGCTCAGGAGATGAATTAATTTCCTCAGTGTTGCCCGGAGGCAAATGGAGACATCTCTCCCCGTCCGTTGCGCAAGCCTAAGCGGAAGCTGGTGGGGGTGCAGAGACAAGGTGAGCACCCTAGGATGGGGGAGGGAACGGGAGCAAAGGGGGAAGAGGGGGAGACATACACAGAGGTGTGTTGAGGAGGCAGACACAGAGTGAGCTGGAGTGAAAGCAGAGAGACTGAAGAGCACTAACATGCACTGACATGTGAACATGGGAGCATGCCTCACACATGTGACCAGAAGGAGAGAGCTGAAACAGACACACAAGCTGGGTTTCCCCCTGCTGAGTGCCCTCCAACCCTACCCCATGACCCTAGAAGAAAGGGGAGCTCTAGCAAAGGCCAAGGACACCTCCAGGTGCAGACAGCTGACAAGGGATGTCATGGGATCAGGTCCTACACTGGGGCTGCTGAGTTGGATTAACCACTGGAGAACTCAGACAGCCCTAGACTTTAAGGCCAGAAGGGGCCACTGAGATCATCTAGTCGGATTTCCTGCATAACCCAGGCCAGAGAGCCATCCTTGGGATTTCCTGTCTCCAGCCCAGAACTGCTGCACTAGAGCAGATCCTTTAGAAAGAGCCCCACTGTGACAAGAAAGAATCCAGGGAGAGGAACCTGCTCGCTATGCCCTGTGGGAAGCTGCCCCAAAGGATGGCACATTGCTTAGAGTCTGGCGACCTACTGAACAATTGTATCAAGTGTCCAAAAATGGTCTTTCATCTCAGATATGGATATTTTCACCCTCTAATGTTCATTTTTTCAAAATTTTCCATTTTTCATCGTCCCCGCCCCCACCCATGAACATTTGAGGTTGGGTTTTTAAAGGTTTTCCTCTCTCACCTGCATTTTCTGTGTCAAAATGGAAACACAATGAAAGGAGGAGGGGGAAATTGAACATTTTCCAACCCAAACATTTTTGATAAAAATGTGTGAAGAATTTGGAATAAAAAATGAAAGTGCTGCCGAGTGACACTTACTGTGAACTTGCCAGTAGTATTCACAGAGCCTCTGAAAGGGTTGCGCCTCGTTCCCAGCCTGAGCGTTGCTGACTTCTGCCTTTGCTAGTTTAAAGAGCCCTCCCACATCAGTATCATCTTCCCATCTAGGTACTTACTGATGAGGGTCAATCACCCCTTAACCTTCTCTTCAACAACCCCAGTAGATAAATACCATCCCACAGACTTTCCCAGAGTTCGCCTCATTCTTGTTGCTCTTTCCTGAACCCCGTCCAGTTTTTCTGATATGGTCACCAGAACCAGACACACTGTTCCTGTAATGGCCTCACTAATGCCATACACAGAGGTAACACCACTTCCCTGCTCCCACTGGACATTCCTCTGCTTGTGCAGCCAAGGATCATGTGAGCTATAGCATTGCACTGGGAACTCATGTTTGTTTGGTTATCTACCATGACCCCCTAGTCCTTTTCATTCAAAGACACAGTCCCTCCTCCAGTATGCATGACCGACATCTAGGAACAAAGAATGTATGTTCCTGCATTTGGCTCGGTTAAAACATACCTTGTTCACACGGGCCCAGTTTACCAAGCAATCCAAATCAATCTGTCTAACTAACTTGTCACCATCAGAATTTACCACTGCCGATTTTGGTGTTATGTGCTAACTTTATCACCAGTGATTTTGTATATTCTTCCAGATCAATGATAAAAATATCGAATGGCTTTGGGCCAAGAGGGGATCCCTGCAGGGCCCCAACAGAAACACCCCTATTGGATGAGGATTCCCCAGTTATAATTAATTTTTCAGCTCTATCAGTTAGCCAGTTTCTAATCCATTTAATATGGGCTAGGCTGATTCTGCACAGTACTGTTTAATCAGATTATCCTGCGGGAATAAGCCAAATGCCTTACAGATACCAATGTATGTTACGGCAGCACAGTTATCTTCATCCATCAAATTTGTGATTGCAACAAAAAACAGGATATCAGGTTTGTCTGACAAGCTCTATTTTCCAAAACATGGCTCCCTGGCATTCATCATGGTACCACCCTTTAATTCTTTGTTATATCCCATTTAAGCCTTTCCATGATTTTGCCCGGGATCAGTGCCAGGGTAACTGGCCTATAGTTACCCAGGGTTTCTTATAACCCATTGGCACAAAACTCTAAAGAGGGAAGGGAAATCTACAGGTCAGGGTGGACAATATCCATGGGAAGTTTTGCCATTGGACATTGCCAGGGAGATGTGGCTAGAAGGGCCCATTAGTCTGATCCAGTGTGGTAGGAATACAAGGCTTGATGGGCCCAAGGGTCTGATTTGGCCCAGCATGGAGGAAGGACATACAGATTGGATGGGCTTGTGGGTCTGGTCTGCCAGAGCCGGGTGGAGAGGGATACCAGGCTGGATAGGCCCATGGGTCTGATGCGGGCGGTGTCCCCCGTTGCCATGGTTGGGTGCCTGTTCTGTGCGTGGTGGAGCGTGGCCCAGCCGGGGCGTCTCCCAGGCGAGTTCTGACACACGGGCCTCACCTCACCCCATGGAGAGACAGCACAACAGAGTGTAAACAGTGGGAGACTCCCCCGGTGCCCCAGGACAGGGAGGGGGCATGATGCAGGGCATCCTGCCAGGGCTAGAGCCACACAGCGGGGAGGGTGTGAGCTCGGAGATATGCATGACAGAGCGGGGGCAGGTGGGTGCAGACAGGGAGAGTGGGAGCCCCAGCTCCCCAGAAGGGGATGTCGGTGGGGGTCTGTGTGTGTGGAGAACTGGGCCAAGAATAGAGAGGGGGCTGGGGATGGGAGACAGAGACCCCCAATCAGGGAGAGGCAGAGGATTTGCAGCTCCTTCCTCTACTCCAAGAGCTGTCTTCCGACTCAGCCCCCAGACCACATCAGTATGATGCAGAGCCGGATCCTATAACAGAACATGCCTCAGCCATTTGTCATCCTTGCTCCCTCGTGTGCTGCAGGGTGGGGGGAGATTGAGTTACAACCCCCCCAGCTCCCCTGGGGTGGGAGAATCACTTTTGGGAGCCTGTCATTTACCAAGACCCCCCAAGGAGGACAGAAAGGAATCAACCCTCCCTCACCCCTCCGGGGAGACATCTAAGTTGGGGGTGGGAGGAGAACAGAGAGTGCACAGGAGGCATGGGAGTGAGAAAGGGGCAGGAGAGATGAGCGGGAGAGCTGAGGACAGGCAGGGTTGGGTGAGGAAAGGGGAGATGGGATCACAGGGCTATGCCCTGCTCCATAGCCCTCCCTGTACTCACATAGGTGCCGGCGAGTGTGCGCAGCTGGTGTTCCAGATACCTGGTGAGGTCGTATGTCTTCTGGATGGACTGACCAGCGCCCACCTCGTCTGTGCTGTTCAGGGCGGGGACCGCGGGCAGGTTCCACAGTGCTGCGCACAGGAAGGCAAAGATCCCCCAAGAATCTCCTGCAGGGAACACAATGACCAGCTCAGGGGGCTCTTTGACGCAGGCAAGGGCAGAGCCTATCTCTGTTGAGCCCCGCCCACCCCAGCAGGGGCGCTGGGACATTGGGGAAGAGGAGGAGCCTGTGACTGCCCAGACCTGCCCTCATCAGCAGAGGGCACTGTGATGCCAGAGAGAGGGTGGTGTTTCCTCTGCCCAGCTCCATCCTTCCCAGCAGGGGGTGCTGTGACATTGGGGAGGAGGAGGAACCTATGGCTGCCTACTCCCACCCTCTCCAGCGGGAGGTGCTGTGACATGAATGTGTCTCTGGAGCTGTCACCCCATTGTTCTGCCCCAGGGCTGTGTTCAGGTTGGGTCTGAATGTGCTCTGGCTGGCGGTAGAGGAGAGGCAGATGGGGTGCACTCTCTGGGGCCATCTAGGCCAGTTCCCCAGCCCAGCACCCCGGGGAGGCAGGAGGTATGTCTCTCACACCTTGTCTCATGTTCTCCTCCCCACCACCCTGAATGGCCTCCAGCCCCAGCTGCTCAGACAGGTATTTTTATGGGTGTCTCACACACCTGTTTCAAATGAGCCATAAAGCCTGTAGAGCACTCAGGGAAGAGCTGGGAGCAAGAGGCAGATGCTGTGGGTGTCAGGGAGTCAAGGCCCAGCTGGTCTAAAAGGCCTTTTCAGGTGTGCCTGGCTGTCTCCAATCCCCGCCACCTGCCCAGTCCAGGTTTGAATATCTCTGCTGGGTCCCAAGCCCCAAGGGAAGGGGGGGAACAGAGGGTTCAGAACTGGAGGTGGGTGCTGCAGGGCCCATCGGGAGCTCAGCAGCTGTCAGGGATTCAGGGTGGTTAGAGCTCTTGGGGCTTTAAGGCGTAGGGAGCTGTCAAGGTTTGTAGGCTTAGAGGTTCGAGAGCATGGTGATTTCAGTCTCCAGAACCATGCAGCGTTCCACTGTCTCACTGCAGCTCCGCTGGGCTTGGCAGGAAGGAGCTGTAAAGGGAGACACGCCTGCGTAGGCTGCTGGCTCTTGGCCATGGAGGGGACATGCCCATTACTCGTGCTGGTGCGTGAATCCTGCTCAGGAAGGTGATTCTCACCTGCGATGAATCACCCATGAGACACAAAGCCCAGGCCCTGGCCACTTGCACGCTTCATTAAAGAGCATCCTGCAGCACTTTGCCTTACTCAGGTATTCACACCGTGCCCTGGACCAATCCCAACCTGGGCAATTCCATTCTGCCTCACTACACCTCTTGCACTTCTTATGGAGATGGCCTCTCCTAGACAGCATCACAGTTGATAAACTGCGGATAAACAGCTCCAAGCCCCACTCTAGAAGAGGCTGCATCTCAGCACTGCATGAGTAATCCCTGTTTATACAGCTGCTGGGCCCCAACCCAGAGGTGGCTACATCTTGGCACCAGACAAGGGATCCCTGTATAAACAGCTGCTGCATCCTCCCAGAGGCAGCTGCATCTCAGTTATTTTAACTAAGCCAGGACCAGCCACACTCCATGGACAATATGGCTACTCTCAACATCACAGCATCAGTGGGTATAGCACTTGGATCCTCCTACTGATGAAGCCCAAGTGTGGGACACTGAGCTAATGGAGAATCCCCATTTGCTATGAGAAGTACAGTGCCTATGACACACAGCTGAACAGTTCCAATTCAGCCCAGCAGATGGCAACAGTCTCATACACCCCCGGCTCATGACAGTGCTGACATGCAATTTGCCCCTGTACTTTTAAACAGGGAGTGATGGGAATAGAGTCAAATGAATCAGAAACGACATCAGGCAGTGACTTCATAGCATGAGATCTCTCCTTGCCCCAATGCCCCTGCAAAGCAATCAATAGGCTAGCAGCTTGCTAATGAGTTATGGTAAGCTCCATACTGACTGGCTGAGGCCTCTCTGATGTCACAGCCTCCCCACACATTAACAACAGAAACATGCTGGACATGTTGTAAAACAGTGACTGGAATTTAACTAATCGGAGGGAGTGAAGGGTAAGGGGAGGGAGGGCTGGGGGGGGGGGGCAGGCAGCAAGCAGGCCCCTTCCGTCCTGCCCCGCTGCCTTACCTCCCTTTCATCCCCTCTGCACCCTGCCAGCAGCTTGGGGGCCGGAATGCACTCCTGCCAACTCTTAATTGAAAAAGTGTGTCATGCTTGCAGAGCTATTTTCCAGAGCTGGGGTTGGCAGAGCCCACAGATTTCTAACCCAGTGTGGGGAGGGGCTAGACAGCAAGGGCCAGGCCAAGAGCCAAGTCAAGGAGTCACCTGCCAGAGGGTTCTGTTTCCACAGCCTCCCTTCTTCTCTGGCCCACCTCTCCCCTCACCCTCTGCTCCCTGAACCATTCCTCTCCCACCTCCTTCCCTGGTTTCCTCTCCCACTTGGCCCCTCCCATGTTCCCCATCACCCTCCTCCCCCCATCCTTCCCTCCCCTCCCCTTCTTCCCCCCCCCCCGGCCCCCTGCAGTGAACCTTATGGCAGCCCCTCCCTGCCTGTTTGGCAGGGCAGAGCGAGTGCTGGAACATGGGCCTAGAGTGGAGTTGGCCCCAGTTCAGGGGAGGAAACAGGCAGCCCATTAAAACGAGGTGTCACATGTTCCTTCACCTGGGTCACTTGGCCTGTGCAGTCACTGCACTTTCCCTTTAAGAGCCCAGTCTGCTTAGCTGCCTGGGAGGCACAGACCCAAATGCTGCAGCCAGCACCTTCCCTAGTGTTGTGCATGTGTGTAGGGGTGGGGAGGACATGCGCTCCTACCTTGGTGCTGACCAGCCAGGGAACCACCAGGAGAGGCCAAAGGGCCCAGCTAGCCTGACGTTGCCCCACCCCTGATACACTGTGAGAGACCAATGGGCACATCTACTCTGCTGTCCCTCAACGCGCTGCTGCACCAGATCACACCAGGGCTTGTCTAGCCCCCATCCCTCACTGTGCCATGCTGGATCAGAGCAATAAGCCCCCTAGATCAGTACCCCATACCCATTCCCTCTTACATTGAATCAGACAATGGGCTTATAGCTCAGTATCCCCTTTCCTACCAAGCCCAGATCAGACCAACCAGCCCACCCAGCATGATATTCCCTCTCTCCCTCCAGCCCAGCTACTACCTGTCAGACCAAAGGGCCCATCTAAGCTGGTATCTCTCCCCACAGACACCAGGTTGGATCAGACCAGTGGGCCCCTCTAGCCCAGTACCATTTCCCATCCTGCTGTGCTGGATCAGACCAATGGTCCCCAGACTGATATTCTGCCTCCATCTGTTTCATACAGATGTTGCAAACCACCCAATGCACCTTACTGCACCATCCTGTGCCATGGTGCCTAATTCTTTCCTGTTCCCCAGCTGGGGATCAGCTCAGGCCCAGAAGCCTGAGAGTGCAGAGCTCACCTAGCTCCCCTCCCTGCAATCTCTCCCTATTCCCATGAGCCTATACCCCCTCTTGTGGGAGTGCAGTGAGCTCTCTGCCTCAGGACCAACCTGCAGCAGTGAGTCCCACAGGTGGAGGCTCAATTAGGAACAGTTGACTGAGTGCCCCTTGATCATGGGTGAGAGCTCCATCCCAGGCCCTTGCGCACATCTCCACACACAAGCCTGAGTCTCTCTCCTCTCCTGGCACATCCTCATGCTGGGGAGCAGGCCCTGTCTCTTCCTCATTCTGGTCTTTCCCTCCCAATCGCAGCCAGACACTTTTGTGCCTCCCCACAGACCCCATTGCTCATGGGGGATCATGGTGCCTGGCTCTTTTCCCAGCTGACTCAGGGCCTGTCAGTGCCTACAGGTAACTTCTTTGCAGCATGGAGTTCTGGCTGCCAGAGTGCCTCCCCTGCACCTGCCCTGCAGCAGTTGAATTCGAGGGAAGGTCTGGAGGGAATATGCCTCAGATTGTCCCCATGTCCTAATTAAAATAATCACTGGCTGGTGTTAACACATGTTCCCCAAACCTCAGAAGACTGGGTGCCCCCTTCAGGCAAATGCAACTAATAGCATCCGCCTTGTGATTAAAGGCCTACCCGTATAATCTTACAGCTGAAAAATATGCTCCCCCTAACTTTCTGATGTGCTCTGACCAGCAGTGAAAGAGTTAACAATGTTGACACTTAAAGTGGCATCTTGGGCATGTGAGTGAGTGCCCAGTGAAACCAGTAGGGCGGTTCACACCTCAGAACCTTTGTCTCGGGCTCTCTGCAAACTCAGGCTGCATCAATTAGACTTGGTTCATATTTACAAGGTTTTCTTCCCAGCCAGAACAGCTGGAGTCTTACTCTTTTCCCCACCAACCCCCCCCCCCAAAACCAAACCCCCAAACCCCCCCCCCCCCCACCCCCCAACCCCCAAGAGAAGAACACACCCCCCCCCCAAAACCCCATACCAACCCCCTAAAAAAAAAAATCCCCACTCCCCACCCTAAACCCCCCCCCCCCAACACAAAACCCCAACCCCTCCTTCTCCCATCTCCCACCACCAAGAAAAGAAAACAAAACCCACCCCTCTTGAAACCCCCCTCTAAGGTAATTAAAAACACTAACAAAACCCCCCTCATTCTTCTCTTCTGCACCCCCCCCCCCCCCCCCCCCCCCCCCACCCCCCCACCCCCCCCTTTTCCCCCCCCCCCCCCCTCCCCCCCCCCCACCCACCCCCCCCCAAAACACCCCCCCCCCCCCCCCCCCACCCCCCCCCCCAAACCCCCCCAAAACCCACCCCTTCAAAAAACCACCCCACACACATCCCCCCCCCCCCCCCCCCCCCCCAAGGCCCCTTCCCCCAAACCCCCCCACACCGCCCCACCTTGCATTGAAAATGAAAGCTGCCCCCCCACCCCGGGAACAATTGGGATGCCTGTTTATCTGCCCATAGCCCCCTGTTATCCCAGTCCTTGGCTTTCTCCCCACCCCCAGATCTGCTGATGCCCCTCAAGCTGGACCTGCAGCCCCCTGTTATTGCAGTTCTGGGCTTCCTCCACAGTTGTGCCAGTGCCCATCAATCCAGACCTACAGCCCCTCTGTTATCCCAGTCCTAGGCTCCCCTCTCCACAGCTCAGCTGATGCCCCTTGATTCCAAACTAGTTTTTCAACCCCCACACTCAATACGTTGGGAAACACTGTG